AATACAGAGGAAGGGGAAGAGCTTCCGAGGCTTTCTTCCAGCACAAGTGGAGTTACTATCATCTGGAATACAGGGGAAGGGGAAGAGCTTCCGAGGCTTCCTTCCAGCACAAGTGGAGTTACTATCACCTGGAATACAGGGGAAGGGGAAGAGCTTCCGAGGAGAGACGCCAAATACAAACGCCGTGACCCAGACAATGGCACGCAACATGCTCCTTTCTCCAGTCACAATTATTAGTTCAGAAACTTTTCAACAAAATACTGACAAACGAGGTGTGGTGGCCCGGGGGGGGCGGGGGGTATGGAGGTGGTGGTGGCAGGGATGGTGGTGGCAGGGGTGGTGGCTTGGGTGGTAGTGGCGGCAGGGGTTTTTGTGGTGGCGGGGGTGGTGGTGGTGGCGGCAGGGGTTGTGGTGGTGGTGTGGTGGTGGTGGTGGCGGCAGGGGTGGTGGTGCCTGGGGTGGTTGTGGTGCCAGGGGTGTGGTGGTGGGCTGGGGTGGTGGTGGTGGTGGGAAAGGTGCCAATTGTAATATTGCGGGAACAGCTGCATATGTGTGGTTTGAGGGACGGGGTGCCAAGCGATGATGGTGATAGTTGGGGTTTGCAGTAGAAATAGTAAAGGGCGGGGTGGCCAGGCGATGACTGCTGGGAGTTTCCAAAATCATTTAGAGAGAGAGAGAGAGAGAGAGAGAGAGAGAGAGAGAGAGAGAGAGGAGAGAGAGAGAGAGAGAGAGAGAGAATGTTCTTACATTGACTGTAAGAGACTTAACAAGCAGAAAGGCAGTGAGAGAGGAAGATTTAATAACAAGTGCCACGAGGACAGTCAGGAAAGTTCCAGGCAGGAGTGTATCTATGCCTTCATGAAATCCATGGCCCATTCGTATATAGCGCTTAATAATAATAATAATAATAATAATAATAATAATAATAATAATAATAATAATAATAATAATAATAATAATAATAATCTGGCTTATCTGTACCTCTAACTTTGATGTGTGTCCCCTCGTCCTGGTCACTGATGTTATTCTCTCTCTATCTTTTCTATGCCCCTGAGTATCTTGTACGTCCTGAACATGTCTCCTCTATTTTTTCCCCCCATCTAGTGATATATCGTCCTACTCCCATATTACGACTATATTCATGAAGATGTTCTAGATACGTAGGGGTCATACAGTGCCTGGAGGTACTGAGGTTTTATCCCAGGAAAGCTAGCTCATATTCCTTGGATCAAGAGCCCTTCACCAGTATGATGGCACTCCCTCACCAGGAACGTTCTGCTCCCCCAGTCTTTTCTCACAGCTCATGACTTCCAGTTTCAAGACAATCTACCTGCCTGTAGTCTACCTTCAAGACAATCTACCTGCCTGTAGTCTACCTTCAAGACAATTTACCTGCCTGTAGTCTACCTTCAAGACAATCTACCTGCCTGTAGTCTACCTTCAAGACAATCTACCTGCCTGTAGTCTACCTTCAAGACAATCTACCTGCCTGTGGTCTACGTCAACGCTACCTGCAGTTTACTTCTGGTCTATCTGCAGTCTACCTCTACCTGAAGCCGATTCCATAGATCATCAGCCTCGCAGCTCGGTCCCAGACAAGGCCATCTGATTGACGGGGATCAATCGGGCTGCTGGGGCCAGTAGCATGCAAACTAATGTATGCACCACAGCCTGGCTGATCAGCAACTAATGGGAATTGTTTTTAGGTCCCTTAATTTCTGTAAGTAGATAAGAGGGCCAAGCCTACACTTGGCACACACTGCTGAAGGTAGTCTAGCAATCTGTCCTGGCATGAGTAGTCTTCTCAGGAACACCACGAGTTAATCTCTAGTCTTCCCACAAGTTTACCTTGGTGTAGGACATGAAGTTTTCTGGTAACTATTCTTTTCTTGTGTGTGTGTGTGTGTGTGTGTTGTGTGTGTGTGTGTTGGGGTTGTGTGTGTGTGTGTGTGTGTGTGTGTGTGTGTGTGTGTGTGTGTGTATGTGTGTGTGTGTTGTGTGTGTGTGTGTGTTTGTGGTGTGGTGTGGTGTGTGTGTGTGGTGTGTGTGTGTGTGGGGTGTGTATGTGTGTGTGTGTGGGGTGTGTGTGGTTGTGTGTGTGTGTGGTGTGTGTGTTTTGGTGTGTGTGTGTGTGTGTGTGTGTGTGTGTGTATGTGTGTGTGTGGGATTTCGTGCGTGGGGTGTACTCACCTGGTTGTAGCTGCAGAGGACAAGTCACAGCTCCTGGCCCCGCCTTTTCGCTGGCCGCTACTAGGTCACTCTTCCCGCTCCGTGAGCTTTATCATACCTATTCTTAAAGCTATGTATGAACCCTTCCTCCACTACATCACTTTCCAGACTATTCCACTTCCTGACTACTCTGTAGCTGAAGAAATACTTCCTAACATCCCTGTGATTCATCTGAGTCTTCAACTTCCAGCTGTGACCCCTTGTTGCTGCGTCTCATCTCTGGAACATCCTGTCTCTATCCACCCTGTCGATTCCTCTCAGTATTTTGTATGTCGTTATCATATCCAAACTCTCTCTCTCTCTCTCTCTCTCCTGTCCTCCAGTGTCGTCAGGTAGATTTCTCTTAACCTCTCCTCGTGCAAACCTTAGCACTTTCTCAAGTTTCTTTACGTGCTTGGCTAGGTGTGGGTTCCAAACTGGTGCCGCATACTCCAATATGGGCCTAACGTACACGGTGTACAGGGTCCTGAACGATTCCTTATTAAGATGTCGGAATGTTGTTCTGAGGTTTGCTAGGCGCCCATATGCTGCAGCAGTTATTTGGTTGATGTGTTGGTCAGGAGACGTGCCTGGTGTTATACTTACCCTAAGATCTTTTTCATTGAGTGAGGTTTGTAGTCTCTGGCCCCCCTAGACTGTACTCCGTCTGCAGTCTCCTTTGCCCTTCTCCGATCTTCATGACCTTGCACTTGTTGGTGTTGAACTCCAGGAGCCAATTGCTGGACCAGGCCTGCAGCCTGTCCAGATCCCTTTGTAGTTCTGCCTGTTCCTCGTCCGATTGAATTCTTCCCATCTTCACATCATCTGCAAACAGGGACACTACGGAGTCTATTCCTTCCGTCATGTCGTTCACAAATACCAGAAACAGCACCGGTCCTAGGACTGACTCCTGTGGAACCCCACTCGTCACAGGCGCCCACTCTGACACCTCGCCGCGTACCGTGACTCGCTGCTGTCTTCATTACAGGTATTCCCTGATCCATTGTAGTGCCTTCCCTGTTATCCCTGCTTGGTCCTCCAGTTTTTGCACTAGTCTCTTGTGTGGAACTGCGTCAAACGCCTTCTTACAGTCCAAGAAAATGCAATCTACCCACTCCTCTCTCTCTTGTCTTACTGCTGTCACCCTGTCATAGAACTCCAGTAGGTTTGTGACACAGGATTTCCCGTCCCTGAAACCGTGCTGGTTGTTGTTGAGTTCATTTCTTTGTAGGTGTTCCACCACTCTTCTCCTGATTATCTTCTCCATGACTTTGCACACTCCTGTTTTTAAAAAATTGGGACTATATTTGGTCTCTTCCATACCTCAGGTAATCTCCCTGTTTCGATAGATGTGTTGAATATTGTTGTTAGGGGTATACATAGCGCCTCTGCTCCCTCTCTCAGGACCCATGGAGAGATATTATCCAGCCCCATCGCCTTTGAGGTGTCTAGCTCGCTCAGGAGCCTCTTCGCTTCTTCCTCCTCGGTTGTATGTACTGTGTCCAACACTTCGTGGTGTACTCCACCTCTTCGTCTTTCTGGAGCCCCTTCTGTCTCCTCTGTGAACACTTCTTTGAATCTTATGTTGAGTTCCTCACATACTTCTCGGTCGTTTCTTGTGATCTCTCCTTCCTTCCTTAGCCTGTGTGTGTGCGTGCGTGTGTGTGTGTGTGTGTGTGTGTGTGTGTGTGTGTGTGTGTGTGTGTGTCTGTGTGTGTGTGTGTGTGTGTGTTGTGTGTGTGGTGTGTGTGTCTGTGTGTGTGTGTGTGTGTGTGTGTGTGTGTGTGTGTGTGCATGTGTGTGTGTGTGTGTGTGTGTGTGTGTGTGTCTGTGTGTGTGTGTGTGTGTGTGTGGCATGTGTGTGTGTGTGTGTGTGTGTGTGTGTGTGTGTGTGTGTGTGTGTGTGTGTGTGTGTGTGTGTGTGTGTGTGTGTGTGTCTGTGTGTGTGTGTGTGTGTGTGTGTGTGCATGTGTGTGTGCATGTGTGTGTGTGTGTGTATATGTTGTGTGTGTGTGTGTGTGTTGTAAGAAGTAATAATATAACATGTGACTGGAAATATTAAGAAAATACCAGTGGAAAAATAAAGAGGAACCCTGAGAACCGTGTTGAGCAGGTTTCTCAAGATATATGGGAGTTGAGTGATGGTGTCTTCCTGAAGGCTGCTCTCACAGCAACAGTTATAAACGTTCACATTCAAACGTTGTCTGTTTTTTTTCTTCGGTCACCTCGATGCCAAGAATAACATGACCGTTTATTTTCTTAACTGTGATTAAATACAATTTATATATATATATATATATATAAATATATATATATATATATATATATATTATATATATATATATATATATATATATATATATATATATATATATATATATATATATATAAAGTGATATTACAATATACAAATAGCTAGTGTGAAAAAATAGTGAATTTCCTAGCGCTTTCGTGATTTCTCACATTATCGAGGAACTATAAAAATAATAGGAGAGTAGAAGGCTAGAAAGGCTGAGATATCACCTCACACATTAACCCATGACGCTGACCGTCGGAGTCTACTGAAGATCTTATCAGGTCACAAGTTATGTAAAATTTATTGAGTGACATGTCACATTATCGAGTCGAAACAAGAATGTATAAACACTAAGCTTCCCGTCCAGCCCTTGAAGCTGTGTTGAGCAGCCGACACCAAGCTTACCATCCAGCCCTTGAAGCCGTGTTGACCAACCGACACCAAGCTTACCATCCAGCCCTTGAAGCTGTGTTGACCGGGCCGACATCAAGCTTACCATCTCCAGCCCTTGAAGCTGTGTTGACCAGCCGACATCAAGCTTACCATCCAGCCCTTGAAGCTGTGTTGACCAGCCGACATCAAGCTTAACATCCAGCCCTTGAAGCTGTGTTGACCAGCCGACATCAAGCTTACCATCCAGCCCTTGAAGCTGTGTTGACCAGCCGACATCAAGCTTACCATCCAGCCCTTGAAGCTGTGTTGACCAGCCGACATCAAGCTTAACATCCAGCCCTTGAAGCTGTGTTGACCAGCCGACACCAAGCTTACCATCCAGCCCTTGAAGCTGTGTTGACCAGCCGACATCAAGCTTACCATCCAGCCCTTGAAGCTGTGTTGACCAGCCGACATCAAGCTTAACATCCAGCCCTTGAAGCTGTGTTGACCAGCCGACACCAAGCTTACCATCCAGCCCTTGAGGCTGTGTTGACCAGCCGACATCAAGCTTAACATCCAGCCCTTGAAGCTGTGTTGAGCAGCCGACACCAAGCTTACCATCCAGCCCTTGAAGCTGTGTTGACCAGCCGACATCAAGCTTACCATCCAGCCCTTGTAGCTGTGTTGACCAGCCGACATCAAGCTTACCATCCAGTCCTTGAAGCTGTGTTGACCAGCCGACATCAAGGTTACCATCCAGTCCTTGAAGCTGTGTTGACCAGCCGACACCAAGCTTACCATCCAGCCCTTGAAGCTGAGCTGAGCAGCTAACCCCAAGCTTCCCAGCCAGCCCCTGAGCCTGAGCTGGGCACAGTACCGGCTGGCCGCCACACCACAACTACGTGGACGTGTATAAAAACGTACCCACAATGTGTAGCAAACGACTTACAAACTTATGGAGAACACATACTACCACGTACGGACGACCACCTTTAAAACACAAAAATCTTGACAGGAAAACCTTCTGCTGTTTGTTGCACAAAAGGCAAAGAAGTTGAGTATTATTTATCAAACATCAGTAACGGAAGTGGTGTGTATGTGTGTGTGTGTGTGTGTGTGTGTGTGTGTGTGTGTGTGTGTGTGTGTGTGTGTGTGTGTGTGTGTGTGTGGTGTGTGTGTGTGTGTGTGTGTGTGTGTGTGTGTGTGTGTGTGTGTGTGTGTGTGTGTGTGTGTGTGTGTGTGTGTGTGTGTGTGTGTGTATGCTTGAATGTGTCATGACCTAAGTACCCTTAGCAAGGGCCTGTAGTGTCAGGTGGTGCTTCACACTACCTTAGTACACACTTTAATAACGAATGACAAATTAAAGCTTACACAATATACCTTTGTAGTTAAACTTATTTTCCACCACCAGAACGTACACACACACACACACACACACACACATATATATATATATATATATATTATATATATATATATATATATATATATATATATAATATATATATATATATATATATATATATATATATATATAAAAACCAGGGTATAAAAGTCCTTCATAGGCTAAACAAGTTTGTGAATATTACGTCAGAAAAGAGGGAATAACCAAAGCACTCTCTCAGCAATAATTACAACAAACCCATCCAGAGAGATGAGATTTTGTTTAAATTTTTAACCCGGAGGGTTAGCCACCCAGGTTAACCCAAAAAAGGTCAGTGTGTCATTGAGGACTGTCTCTTATTTCCATTGTGGTCCTTCAATCCTGTCCCCCAGGATACAACCCACACCAGTTAACAAACTGCCAGGTACCTACTTGCCTGCTAGGTGAACGGGACAACAGGTGCAAGGAAACACGCCCAGTGTTTCCACCCCGTCGGGGATTGAACCATAGACTCTCAGGCGAGACCGCTGACTACCAGGCGCACGAAGTTCTAAGTTCTTGCTTCAGGTACAAACGATGTGGTTATTAGTACCACTTAACCATCTTCACGGACACCTGCATTTCCTCTCAGGCACCAAAGTTACCATAGCCAGCTAAATTATCACCTTTATGGAGACAGAGAGAGAGCACAGAGAGCAGCGGTGTGTACCCTGTACGCAGAAGGGTACTGAGCGCATCAGTGCTCAGACTATAAGAGATCCCAGATCTCACAGTTTCATCAGTCGCTCAACTGGAGAGTCGCTTGACAATATGCTTATATTCCACGGTATATCCCAAAACTTCAGCCTCTTTCCTATTTGTACGTTTACTTCAGTCTGTTTCCTGTTTGTCTCTCTTAACAATGAAAAGGCTTTCAAAATAGCTGGTGTAGGTAACAGCTGTCAGCTTGTAGATAAAGTTAGGAACCCTAAACGTAACCTTGTAGAATCCTGTGAAAAAAAAAATCAAACACGTACACCCAAACCTGGAGAGGACTGGTGGTCTGGGATCCCTAAAATAAATAGCGACATAAGCAAGTTTGGTGATGACACCAGAATAGGTCGCCTAATTCATTCAAATGAGGACATTAGAGCACTCCAGGAAGATTTGAAGACTGATGCAGTGGTCGGAGAAGTGGCAGATGCTGTTTAAAATAGACAAATGCAAAGTTCTAAACACTGGACAAGAAAGTAACCATGCCACATATAAATTAAATAATGTAGATCTTAATATTACTGATTGCGAAGAGGATTTGGAAGTTCTGGTTAACAGTAATCTAAAACCAAGACAACAGTGCACAAGTGTTCGTAATAAAGCGAAGAGAATCCTTGGCGTCATACTAAGGAACATAAATAATAGAAGTCCTCAGGTTGTTCTTCAACTCTATATATCTTTGGCTAGGCCTTATTCAGATTATGCTGCGCAGTTCTGGTCACCGTATTACAGAATGGATATAAATGCTCTGGAAAACGTACAAAGGAGGACGACAAAGATGATCCCATGTATCAGAAATCTTCCCTATGAGGATAGACTGAGGGCCTTGAATCTGCACTCTCTAGAAAGGCGTAGAATTAGGGGGGATATGATCGAGGTGTATAAATGGAAAACAGGAATAAATAAAGGGAATATAAATAGCGTGCTAAAAATATCTAGCCAAGACAGGACTCGCAGCAATGGTTTTAAGTTGGAAAAATCAGATTCAGGAAGGATATAGGAAAGCACTGGTTTGGTAATAGAGTTGTGGATGAGTGGAACAAATTCCCGGGTACCGTCATAGAAGCTAAGACGTTGTGTAGTTTTAAAAATAAGTTAGATAAATACACGAGTGGGTGTGGGTGGGTTTGAGTCGGTCTGACTAGCTTGTACTAATAGGTCTGATGCCGTGCCCCATCCCCCCCAACCCATCTGTGGATGTGACCTGACCTGACTAGGTGGGTCATTAGTTTGAGCCGGAAGGTGACTTGAACCTGCCTCGCGTGGGCCAGTATGCCTGCTGCAGTGTTTCTTCTTTCTTATGTTCTTAAAAGCGAGATCTTCCCTAGGACAGTCCCCTCTACCTCTGAAACGTCAGAAGGCCGCAGCACCTTTTTAAACAGACCAAGTCTAGCATGGTCGACTGATCCTAGAACAGGGGTTCACAATCTTTTCTATTCTCCGCACCCCTAGGAAATGTCTGACTAATGTTGCATCATATTTGAAGATGAACAAATCAAATTTCTATTTTTTGAATCACAAATTGAACCAAATACAGCAATGTGGGTGAGCAAATTGAACAAAAAAAAAATAAGCTTTGAAATACCGTCTCGCACCCCAGGTACGGAACCCCTGTCCTAGAGGGTTCTGCCTAGCAGTGCTTCCAACAGGCGAAGTTGATAAGCACAACTGTGGTTTTGTATTGCGCAGGCCAAATACAGGAGAAAAGCCTCACTACAGAGCCGAGATGAGCAGCACCTGTCAACAACACGTACACTCACCCTCGACGCATTCCACACAGACTGTATCCACGTGTCCATCTAGTCTTCTAGTGGCTAAGGCCCAGTGTGAAAATAGTGTGAAATTTCAACTAGAACTGCAATAAAATTGTACATGAATGGTATACAATACCGACAAGATGCAAAATTAGACACATGTGCAACATCTGGGTATATTTATTGTAGACGTTTCGCCATCCAGTGGCTTTATCAATGCAATAAATTGTATACATCCACATGCAACAGCGCTACCATCCGCAGGATGGATCTGGGGTGTACAATAAGCTAGCTCCTTAGGAAGCAAAAAATAAACATTATTAGTGGTGAATGAGAGAGAAAGAGAGTTTGTGTTGAAGATAGTTTTAATAGTAAAACACAGACTGCTTTAAGGTTGTTACGGGTCAAGGCGCTAAACTAAATATATCATCTTTATTTTTGACAAGCAAATGCAAAATATATACTAATGACGATAAAATTAATAAATTAATTTTATAAAGTACTACACATAAACATCACAAACTACTACAAACATACAAGGTACGAGTGGAGGTGGTGGAGGAGGTGGTGGAGGAGGTGGAGGAGGAGGTGGTGGAGAAGGTGGTGGAGGGGTGGAGGAGGTGGTGGAGGAGGATGGTGGAGGTTGAGTGGTGGAGGAGGTGGTGCGTGTGGAGGTGGTGGAGGATGGTGGTGGAGGTGTGGAGGAGGAGGTGGTGGAGGTGGAGGTGGAGGAGGAGGTGGTGGTGGAGGTGGTGTGAGGATGTGGTGGAGGTGGTGGAGGAGGAGGTGGTGGAGGTGGAGGTGGAGGAGGAGGTGGTGGTGGAGGTGGTGGGGAGGTGGTGGAGGTGGTGGAGGAGGAGGTGGGGGTGGAGGAGGTGGAGGAGGTGGTGGAGGAGGTGGTGGGAGGAGAAGGTGGAGGAGGTGGAGGCAGGAAGAGGTGGAGGAGGTGGAGGAGGGGTGGAGGAGGTGGTGGAGGACGGTGGTGGAGGAGGGCTGGTGGAGGTGGTGGAGGGGAGGTGGTGGAGGAGGTGGAGGAGGTGGTGGAGGGAGGTTGGGGGGAGAAGGTGGAGGAGGTGGGAGGAGGAGGGGGAGGAGGTGATAGAGAGGAGGTGGAGGATGGTGGAGGAGGTGGTGGTGGAGGTTGTGGAGGAGGTGGTGGAGGGTCGTTGGGAAAGGAGGCGGTGGTGGAGGAGGTGGAGGAGGTAGGTGAGGGAGGTGGTGGAGGTGGTGGTAGGAGGACGGTGGTGGAGAGAGGTGAGGAGGTGGTGGAGGAGGTGGTGTGAGGAGATGGTGAGGAGGTGGAGGAGTGGAGGAGGGGGTGGAGCGAGGTGGAGGAGGAGGTGGTGGAGGAGGGGTGAGGTGGTGGAGGAGGAGGTGGAGGAGGTGGTGGAGGGGAGAAGGAGGAGGTGGAGGAGGAGGTGGAGGGGTGGAGGAGGAGGTGGAGGAGGGGGAGGAGGTGGAGGAGGTGGAGGAAGGAGGGGAGGAGGAGGTGGAGGAGGTGGTGGAGGAGGTGGTGGAGGTGGGTGGAGGAGGAGGTGGTGGAGGAGGTGGAGGGGTGGTGGAGGTGGTGGAGGAGAAGGTGGGAGGAGGTGGGAGGAGGAAGGTGGAGGGGTGGAGGAGGTGGTGGAGGAAAGGTGGAGGAGGAGGTGGAGGCGGTGGAGGTGGAGGAGATGGTGGAGGAAGTTGGAGAAGGTGGAGGAGGGAGGTGAGGGAGAAGGTGGAGGAGTGTGGAGGAGGAGGTGGAGGAGGTGGAGGAGGGAGGTGGAGGTGAGGTGGAGGAGGTGGAGGTGGAGGTGGAGGAGGTGGTGGAGGGAAGGTGGAAGGAGGTGGAGGAGGAGGTGGAGAGGTGGAGGAGGAGGTGGAGGAGGGGAGGTGGAGGTAGAAGGTGGAGGAAGTGGAGGTGGAGAAGTGGATGAGGTGGAGAAGGTGGAGGAGGTGGAGGAGAAGGTGGAGGGAGGTGGAGGAGAGGTGGAGGAGGTGGAGGTGGAGGTGGAGGGTGAGGTGGAGGAGAAGGTGGGCTAGGAAGTGGAGGAGATGGTGGAGGAGGAGGTGGAGGAGAAGGTGGTGGAGGAGGTGGAGGAGGAGGTGGAGAGGAGGGTGGAGGAAGGAGGTGGAGGAGGTGGTGGAGGAGGTGGAGGAGGTGGAGAAGGTGGAGGTGATGGAGAAGGTGGAGGAGGTGGGGAGAAGGTGGAGGAGGTGGAGAGGTGGAGAAGGTGGAGGAGGAGGTGGAGAAGGTGGAGGAGAGATGGGGAGGAGGTGGAGAAGGTGGGTAGGTGGAGGAGAAAGGGGAGGTGGAGGGATAAAGGTGGCAGGGGGAGGAGAAGGTGGAGGTGGAGGGGGAATGTGGAGGAGAAGGGTGGAGGGAGGAGGTGGAGGAGGTGGTGGAGGAGGTGGTGGAGGAGAAGGTGGAGGAGGGGGAGGAGGAGGTGGAGGAGGTGGAGGAGTAGGTGGAGGAGGTGGAGAGGAGGGGTGGGAGGAGGTGATGGAGGAGGTGGAGGAGGACGGTGGGTGGAGAAGGTGGTGGAGGAGGTGGAGGAGATGGTGGAGGAGGTGGTGGAGGTGGGGGAGGAGGAGGTGGTGGTGGAGGTGGGGGAGGAGGTGGTGGAGGTGGTGGAGGAGGAGGTGGTTGGAGGTGGAGGTGGAGGAGGGGAGGTGGTGGTGGAGGTGGTGGAGGAGGTGGTGGAGGTGGTGGAGGAGGAAGTGGTGGAGGTGGAGGTGGAGGAGGTAGTGGTGGTGGAGGTGGTGGAGGGGTGGTGGAGGTTGGTGGAGGAGGAGGGGGTGGAGGAGGTGAGAGGAGGTGGTGAGGAGGTGGTGGAGGGAAGAAGGTGGAGGAGGTGGAGGAGGAGGTGGAGGAGGTGGAGGAGGAGGTGGAGGAGGTGGAGGAGGAGGTGGTGGGAGGAGGTGGTGGAGGTGGTGGTGGAGGAGGTGGTGGAGGAGGTGGAGGGGTGGTGGAGGAGGGGGTGGAGGAGGAAGGTGGAGGAGGTGGTGGAGGAGGTGGAGGTGGTGAGGAGGAGGTGGAGGAGGTGGAGGAGGTGGTGGTGGAGGTGGTGGAGGGAGGTGGTGGAGGTGTGGTGGAGGAGGTGGGGAGGAGGTGGAGGAGGTGGTGGAGGAGTGGTGGTGTTGGTGGAGGAGGTGGTGGGGGAGGAGGTGGAGGAGGGGGTGGTGGAGGGGGTGGAGGAGAGGGGGAGGTGGTGGATGGAGGTGGAGTGAGGTGGTGGAGGAGGTGGAGGATGGAGGTGGTGGAGGAGGTGGGGGAGGTGGTGGAGGAGGAGGGGAGGAGGTGGTGGAGGAGAATGGAGGAGGGGGAGGAGGTGGTGGAGGTGTGGAGGAGGAGTGGAGGAGGGGGGAGGAGGTGGAGGAGGTGGAGGAGGTGGTGGAGGAGGAGGTGGATGGTGGTGGTGGAGGAGGTGGTGGGGTGGTGGTGGAGGAGGTGGTGGGAGGGAGGTGGAGGAGGTGGTGGGGAGGGGGTGGAGGAGAAGGTGGTGGAGGTGGAGTGAGGAGGTGGAGGAAGGTGGAGGAGGAGGTGGAGGAGGTGGAGGAGGAGGTGGGAGGAGGTGGAGGTGGAGGTGAAGGGGGAGAAGTCGGAGATAGGTGGATGGAGGAGGGGGAGGTGAAGGTGGTGGTGGGGGAGGTGGAGGTGGAGGAGTGGTGGAGGAGGGGGTGGAGGTGGGGGCCGAGGGGTGGAGGTGGAGGTGGAGGAGGTGGGGGAGGTGATGGTGGTGGAGGGGGAGGGAGGAGGTGGAGGAGGTGGTGGTGGTGGTGGTGGAGGTGGTGGGGGAGGTGATGGGGGTGGATAGCAGGGGTGGTGATTGGGGGTTGAGGGGGTGATAGGGGGAGGTGGTGGTGGTGATGGTGGTGGAGGGGGAGGAGGAGGGGGTGGTGGGGGTGGTGGTGGGGGTGGAGGTGGAGGTGGTGGTGATAAGGTGGAGGTTGGGGGAGGTGTAGGTGGTGGAGGGGGGGTGGTGATGGGGGTGGTGGTGGGGGAGGTGGTGGTGGTAGAGGTGGGGGTGGAGGTGGTGGAGGTGGGGGAGGAGAGGGGTGTGGAGGTGGAGGAAGGGGGTTGGGTTGGAGATTGGTGGTGGAGGGGGAGGAGTTGGTGGAGGAGGTGGAGTGGGAGAAGGTGGAGGTGGATGGTGGGAGATGGTGGAGGTGATTGGGTAGGAGGTGGTGGAGTAGGGGGTGTAGGGTGGTGGAGTTAGGTGGTGGTGGAGGAATAATGGTGGAGGGGGTGGGTAGGGGGAGGGGGAGGTGTAGGGGGAGGTGAAGGTGGAGGAGGAGGGGGTGGTGGAGGTGGAGGAGGTGGAGGAGGGGGTGGAGTTCGGTGGGGTAGTAGTTGGCGGGGTGGTGGGTGGGGGTGGTGGTGGAGTAGGTGCGAGGTGGTGGGGGGGGGAACGGGGGAGGAGGAGGTGGTGGAGGAGGAACGGACGGTGGGGGTGGGGGTGTGGGTGGTGGTGGTTTTGTGATGATGGTGGTGGTGGAGTGAGGGTTTTTAGGTGGTGGTGGAGTTGTGGTGGTATTGAGGAGGTGGTGGTAGGAAGGAGTGGTGTTTTTTTTATAAATACAGGAGTGGGAGATGTGGGGGGAGGATGTTCGTAGTGTTTATAGTGTTGTATCTTGTTCTCTAAGGTGTGTAGGTTTGGCAGTGCTTTGTGTGACGGTTTTTCCAGTCTCGCGGGAGTTCGCCTGGGGGGGTGGGGGGTGAGGTGTGGTGAGGGTGGGCATGGGGCTAGCAGCGAGTGAGGGAGACATGCACGGCATCACAAGAATAACTGCAGATATGATGTATAAAAAGCGACTAGACGATATAATGGCAGATATGATGAATAACCCGAGACATAGAAGAGATAATGAAGAGATGATATGACTAAAAAAGACGATAGAAGAGATACATGCAGATATGTGAATCAAAAGACGATCGAAGAGTACATGCAGATCAGGATGACTACCAAGAGATAGAAGCGATAAATGAAGAATATGAGAACAAGACAATCGCAGAGACTACATGACGATATGCTGCATCACACGAGATTAGACGAGATCAATGCCGCTCATGATGACTCAAAAGAGATGAGAATATCAATGAAGATCTGACATGAATCACAAGCGATCGACGAAACTCAATGACGATATGCTGACTAAAAAGAGATAGAAGCAATAAATGCAGATATGATGAATCAAAGAGATGAAGAAATACCAATTGCGATATGATGAGCATAACACGCGCATAGAAGAAATAACTGCAGAAATGATGAATACAACAAGAGATCGGAAGAAATCCACATGAAGTATGCATGACTACCAGGAGATACGACGAAATTAACTGCAAGATCTGTGACTAAACCGAGCATAGCAAGAAACATAAACTGCTCTGTACATGATGATCCACAGCAAGAGATCACGAAACAATAAATGCCGTATTGCTGAATAAACACGCAGAGATTCCAGAAGAGATAAATGAACGATATGACTGCACTACACAGAGATAGACGAAATAAATGAAGATATGCTGACTAAACGAGATAGACGCACGCTACTGCAGCATCATGATGAATAACAGAGGCATAGACGGACATAAATGGAGATATGATGGGTCGATCAAAAGAGTCAGAACGAGATCAATGACGATCTGGATGACCTACCACGAGCATTCAGCCGAGCTATAACTGCAGCTCACTGCTTGCAATGTAAAAGAGATAGAAGAGCTAAACTGACGATCTGCTGCATCACCGCGCTCGCCGAGATAATGTAGCTATTGATGCATCAAACGAGCTAGCAGCGATAATGAGACTCTCGATGCAATAACAAAACGAGATCAGAAGCCAAGATACCGTGAAGCTTGATCGAATAACACAAAGAGATCGCCGAGATACAATGCGATACTGATGTCTGAATAAAAGAGCAGCAGAGCATACACAATGAAGATATGATGAATAAACCGAGACTAGACGCGATAACATGCAGCTATGAGGAAAAAGAAAGGATAGAAGAAGGATCCATGAAGATTATGCTGAATCAACAGAGATAGAAGAGATAAATGCAGATACTTGATGCAATAAAACAAGCAGATAGAAGACATAATGCACAGATATGATGAAGAAACAGCGATAGCATGCGATAATGAAGATCTGCTGCATCCACCCGCGATAGACGAGATAAATGAGATACATGAGCATCAACAGAGATAGAAGACGCCTAAATGACGCACTTGATGGAACTAACCCGCGCTCGACGAGATAAATGGCAGATATGATGAATAAAACAAGAGATCGACAGAAAATAACTGCTAGATATGATGAAAAACGAGCTTCGAAGCCCTCGACTGCAGCTCTATGATAAAAGAAGCTAGCCGCACTAAACTGCCGATCTGCTGACATCCCAACAGCGCTGACCGCAACTAACTGCAGCCTGCATGCATCATCAGAGATATCCGCAGATCAATTGAAGCTATGATGAATCAAACGAGATAGCAGAGCTCCCCTGCATTATGCTGACATCCCAAGAGACTCGCAAGCACTAACAAATGGGACGATCTGCTGAATAAAAGCGATCAATGAAGATATGCTGAATCACCAGAGCTAGACGAGATCAATTAGATATGCTGCTCCCCCGGAGCTCGCGAGATCCACTGCAGATCATGCTGCCACTCAACAGAGATAGACGACCCATCCCTGCAGATCTGCTGCCTAAAAAGAGCTCGATGAGATAAATGACGATCAGCTGGCTCTACACAGCGCTAGCACGAGATCAACTGAAGATATGGATGACATAACCAGCAGATCGCAGCGATACAATGAAGATATGATGAATAAAAAGAGCATAGAAGCGATACCATGAAGATCTATGCATACAAAGAGATAGACGCGAGAACTGAGCTATGATGAATAAACAGAGATAGCAGAAATAAATGAGATATGATGGACTCAACAGAGATCAGACGAGCTAAATTACGCTATGATGACTCAAAAGAGCTAGAAGAGATCAACTGACACGCTCTGAGATGACTCACTCCAGCGATAGACCGATCAATGAAGATCTGTGAATAAACAGCGATAGGAAGAGATAAATGACAGCTATGATGAATAAAAAGCAGTTAGAAGAGATAAATGAAGATACTGGATGACTAAAAAGAGATTTTAAAGCTGAAATCAAAGAAGATATGTGCATCAACACGAGCGGAAAGAAGCGATAAATGGCCGCTCTGATGAAATTTCAACGAGATCGACGAGCTAACATGAAGATATTATGCATAAAAAGAGCCATCGACGCGATAACTGAACGCTATGTGAATACAAAGAGATAGAAGAGATAAATGAAGTATGATCGAATAAAACAGAGATAGAGAGCTAAATGAAGATTGATGCTAGCAAAGGATTCGAAGAATACACTGCAGATATGATGCATAACACGCGATAGAAGACACCACATAAGATAATGATGACTAATGGCGCACACGAGATCGCAAGACTCCCTGCAGATATGATGCCTCATGAACTCAAAACCAGCGCTCGACGAACTCAAAATGCCGATCTGATGCCAGCATTACTGCATCCACACGCGCAGCTCGACGATGATAAAATGAAGGACAATGATGCCAATGAATAAAAGCGATCAGGACGACATACATGCAGATCTGATGAACTAATGAATAAAAAGAGAATAGACGAAATCATGAAGATATGAAGATAATGATAAACAAAGCTGCATAGAAGAGCTAAATGCACTTGAATGAATCAATGAAAAGCAAAAGAGATAGAAGAAATAAATTTGCCGATCTGGATGAATAAACAAGAGATAGAAGATATATAGGGACGCTATGCATGCATCCAACGAGGATGCAGAGATAAATGAAGATATGTGGAATCCTGAATCAAAAGAGATAGAGAAATAAACTTCAAGATATGATGCATAAAATACCCACGAGCATAGCAGAAACTCTCTGAAGATATGATGAATACCAAGAAAAGAAGAGATAATGAGATATGACTGCATAATGATTAAAACAGAGCTAGAAGGAACATACCATGAAGATATGATGACATCACAAAGCCGCTAGACAGATGTATTGAAGATATGATGAATAAAAGAGATAGCAGAGAGATCACTGACGCTATGCGGACATCAGACAACAAGAGATCGACGAAATAATGAAGATATGCTGCATCAAAAGAGACTAGCAGACTATCTACTGACAGACTCTAATGATGAATACAAGAGATAGCAAGACATAACATGCCGACTCATGATGAATAAAGCGATCGCCGAGATAAATGATGAAATGATGAATAAATGCAGATAAGAAGAAATAAATGGACAGGTATGCTGAATAAAAAGGAGATCGAAGCGCTCAAATGAAGATTTGCTGTACTAATGAATCACAAGAGCATAAATGAGATATGATGACTAACCAGAGCTAGGGAGAGATAAATGCAGCTCATGCAGCATAATGCATCACACGCAGATCGTCAGAGATCAATGACGATATGATGAATCATGACATACAAGGAGATCAAAAATAAATGAATATATGCTGAACTAAAACGCGATGGAAGAAATAAATGAAGATATGAAGAAAGAGCATACAAACGAAGAACACAATAAATGAAGATATGGCATGAATAATGAATAACCAGCGATAGACACGAAATAATGAAGGTAAGCTCGATGATTAAACAAGGGATAGAAATAAAACATACAAATATGCTGAAAGATGACATAATAACGAGATAGAAAAACAAATGCAGATTGTGAAAGATGAATACGAAGAGCTAGAAGACCATCCACATGGAGTATGATGCAAGATGAATAAAAAGAGCATAGAAAAATCAATGAGATATGATGAAGATGGAACTACCAAAGCCCGCGAAGAAGCACTAAATGAAACTCTGATGAAAGATGAATCAAAAAGGCTAG